TTTAATGTCTTAAATTACTTTGAGATAAGCGTACATAGAAAATTAAAGTTAAATAAAAAGTCATTTAGAGTATTTTCATGAAATATGAACAAATAGACAACTTATTCATTTTTAATGTGATTTAATAATATTTAAATATATTAATACCTATGATATTCAAATTTATTTGGTAAATGTTCATTTGCAACAAAAAAATGTTTTATTTACGTTAGAAATTTATTTCTTTTAAGTCACCTCAAAAGCCAAAAGTTAAGTGTGCTGAAATGAAGGAAAATATCCTTTATTATCAAAACAACAGCTGGATTTTACTTACTTTGTGGCTTCTTTGATTTAAGCTGGAAAATTCAGCACCAAATGAAACACCGAAATTGGGCAACTGCAATTTCGTCTGCCTTTCTCCAATTAGAAGAATCTCAAGGCAAAATTCTCAGTGAATTTCTGTGTGTTTGTGTTCTTGTGTGTATGTGTGTGTGTGTGTGTGCTTGTGCAAGTGTGTTGGTGAGGCTCTGAATCGCCAGAGGCAATCCGCTTTTCCACCCAACCACTGCCTCTGTTTGCCTTTTCCTTTCAACTCCTCGCTCTCTAATTGAATATGCATATTTGGGTGTCAGTCATTTTGATTGCGTAACAAACTGAAATGAAATGAAACATGAAGCCCCAAAGAGGCCTACAATCCGTCCAAGCCCCCAAAACCCTGAGCCCCCTCCCCCTGAAAACTCTGACCTTCACCCACCACCCATCGCCCAAAATAACCTCGGTCTAAACGCTTTGCATTTGACTTGGCTTGACGACAAATCATTGTCATCATCAGATGATGATTATCATCGGTCGAATTTCAATATTTTGGCGATGCAATCATCGATAACCACAAGTGCACTGAAAGAAACAAAAAAATATATTTATACCCTTTTTTTATTTATTTAACCATTAAGTTTTGTATCCAACAAATTAAATCACTGATACTTGTTTTTTTTTTGTTTATTTAAACATTGCAACATTAACAATCTATTTAAAATGAATATTTGATTAGAGGTACTTATAATATAGTATGAATATTTATAAAAAGAGTTTTTTGAAAAAAAAAAATAGAGTTAAAAAATTTAAGAAAATAAAGGAACTTTAAAAAATATATGTTAAATGGATTTAGCTTTGGTCTCTGGGTAAAAGTAAAATAAAAAATAATGCAATACATATCTAAGACTGTGTGTAATTCTTATTTGCATATATTTTTTATGTTGATAAAACTTAAGAGAAATATTTTATTTTCGCACTGTAAATTAGTAATAAAATGTTCAATAACTCTCTTGGCATATGTCAATTAACTTGGAAAATGGAGCATTTATGCAGCATACATTTCGAAGCACTAGACAATTGACAGTTGATAATGCATTTTAATTGTTGAAATATGGATGGATGTCCATTGCCACACACGCATTCGATAACTGGCGGATGGATGGTTATGTAATCGCAACTTCATTTAATAATGGATACTCCAATTTGTGGGCGGTGGGCGGTTAAAAGCCAACTAATTATGGAAAGCTAACGGAATAGGAAACTAATTGACGTATAAGCAGGTTGGTAATTGCGAAATTTGCGTACTCCTTTTGGCATTTAATTTTTTAGCCAATACTTACAGATTTTTATGGGCTTAAATATGTGCATACATTTCATTGTTTCTTAATCGACCCGCAGAATATTCAATTTATTTATTTAGCAAGTTGATTAGTCCAAATCGCATTGTGTAAAAGTTCGGAAGACCACCAGTTAATTGAAATGGCAATTTTCATTTCAATTAATATCGAAATCCCCCTTGCCAAAGCTCGCCTCGAATTTTGTGTCCATTTCGGTTGCTGTTGTTTGCTGTAATTATAATTGGCAATTTGCAAATTCAATTGACCGCACTTATACCGGCAACCACCGAAAAATCGGCATGAATAATGCAACAAAAATTGAATTTCGCATTCATTCAATTAGAGTGCGGACAATCGAAGCTGCCGTGAAATGTAAATCCAGTCCAAGCTAATCCGGCAATGGAAAGGCATCACGTACTCGTTCCCCGCCATCATGATTGGCTATAAAATTCTAATTTCATGCAATTCATTTAAATACATGTTTGGCAACAAACAAACCGGAGTGCCAAGCAATCTTATTACTTTATTGCCACTTGAGTGTTGAAGTTGGTGGGTGGGCTGCAAAAAGGTTGAAAAGTGTTCAATTTGCAAGGATCTCTTTTATTCTGCTGAAATTCCTGCCCTTAACACCCCAAGGATACTCGGCGAGTAATCAACTTAAAATATATATCTCCAACCGAGCTCTGGGAATCCGATTATAGTGGCATACGAGGCGGGATTTTTGCAACAATTTGTTGACTTTGTTGGACTGCAATGCCAGTTATTACGAATTGATTAAGGTGATTGGATTGCTGGGTGTGATTGGCTTAGAAACTGTTTAGATATATGGTTATATTTATTGCAACCTTCTGAAAGAGAACCACTTGGATTATATTTTGTAAATGATTTACATTTTAAGGAGTTATTTCTGAAAGTATTTTCTTTATTTTAAAATGTGTAGAACATTATATCTTAAATAAACCATAAATAAGCTTTTTTCAAAGTATTTATTTGCATATAATTTTTTTTCAATTTATTTTACTGTCACTACCTAGATATTATGAAATATAGTATAAATTATTTGCATTTAAAAATGCAGTGGACTTAAAGGGTTCTTAACCTATATACAGCTCATAGATAACTTAGTAAGTTAAGTAAACAATTTTGTTTATAGAAAAAAGAACTGAAAAAGTTTTATTATATATGTATGACAGAGTTGGCTTAAATTATTACATTAGAGAATATTAATTGGATAGTTCAAGACCAAGACATTTTTGGTGAAAAAAAACTTTCGGCAGTATAAGTAAGTGTAAGTATAAAAGTCACGAATATAACACCTCTGGGCCGAACCCTTTAATCCGGTTAGAGCCAGGCTACATGCACATGCATACATCATAAATAATTGAGTTATCCTTCGATGTTTTTCCCACTCTTACTTTTTTTTTCTGACTTTTTTTTGGTTCGACAACATGACAAATTTATCCTAAAGTTAATTCCCTCACTCAGAACAGAAGCCCCGCGCTTGTGGCTGCTGACCCCTTTGCCCTGTCTCATGAACTTTGGCCTAAAAATACAATTGGGGGCAAAATAATGGAGCTAAGCATGTGGGAAAAACATTTTTCCACATATTTTTAATTCATTTTTGTTGTTTGATTCTTTTTATTAATAAACTTTTATTCAGTACAAATTTTACAGTTTAATATTTTAAATAAAAAAGTTTTGTTTTAAATATTGAAAGTTATTAAGAGAGCCTTAACATAAACTAAAACCGTTTTTTAATGTTAAAATATTACATTTTTTTAAATTGCTTATACATATATCGAAACTAAACTATTAATTCTTTAAATTATAAACTTTAATTTAAACTTTAAACTTTCGTTAACCACTTCAAAGCTGAGTATGTAATAAACGGAATATTAATTTGTTTTTAGTGCTATTTTGTGTCGTCTGCTGTATTTTGTGTGTGTCAGTTGGGATGTTGTTCATTTTGTTGGCAATGTCCTCGGTTGGGCGCAATTCGTATACATATTGATGAATATGTATAAATAAATTTTTATTGATTTTTCATTATTTATATTTAATAATAAATAAAGCAAACAGTAGCCCTCTCGCTCGCTCCGCTTCGTCGGCTTGACTTGTTTTTTTCTGAAAGTGTTGACACACCTTAGTTTGAAATTGAGTCGTTGGAGCACATTGATTGAGTTGCTTATATATATATATATATATGTATATTTTTTTCGGGGATACACACGGCTTACAGAAAATTTCCGCTTTGTTGCGCAGCCGAAAAACATTTTAAATTCCCCCCACAGGATTTTCTAAGCATTACCGACCTTTTTTTTTGTTTCCATCGTCGTGTTTGTGCTAAAAATAATTAAATTCAATTGCAATTCAGTTATCGCGGGACAGTCGCAACAAAAAAAAAAAAAAAGCGAAGCAGAAATTGTTATAGAAAATTCAAAATGTCTGCCCCCTGACGCCCCTCCACCCCCCCTTCCCTACACACACTTTTTTTGTGGCGAGAAGAAAAAATATTGAAAATTTATTTATAGCCAAATACGCTACGCTGCACCTGTGTGTATGTGTGTGTGTGTGCTGTCAACACGTATAAGTGTGCGTGCTGGTGTGCCTGTGTTTGTGTGGACACAACAGATGTTTGCTGGTGTTGGAGTGTGCGCCTGTGTGTGTGCATAGTCGGGTGGAAAAATGATTGAGTGTTTGAACTCAACTTTTGTGTCGTCGGCATCGCACTGTCATCAGTGGCTGTGGAATATAAAAGTGGAAACTGGGGAACTGGGGAGCACCAGCACTCGAAGGCTATCCAAACACCACCCAAACACCCCCCAATCACCACCTAAATACCATCTAAACATCACTTAAAACCACCCAAAACACCACCCCTCAAAAAACCGGCACATTTAATTTTCTTAGACCACAAAACATTCTTGCAAAGTTGCTTCATAGTTTCTCAATCAGCTGTGCTCACTGTTCTCAATTTGTTTATTTTCATAAACAGCTTTGTCATCTGTCAACAGCCCTTCAAGTTTATTTTCACTTTCACTCGCTTTTCCTCTACATATATTTTATCGTTTTTGTTGTTATCTCTGTTGGTGTTCTCGATTTGTTTGGATCTTTTCTCTACATCCTGTTTCTAATGCCAGGTTAACTCTGTCAACACAGCAACAAATTATATTTAATATCAACTTTCCATTTTTTAACTATTTGATAAATAAAATCTCGGGTTATTATTATTATTAAAAAAAAAAAAAAATCTACACTTTTTACGACATTTGAAATATGTGGGTGAAATATTTAAGCAAACTGACTTAGACCTTTTACCTAGTCCATCAATCAAATAATACTTAAAAGGCATTAGCGTTGGGCAAATTCTAATAATCACATAATTGAAAATCATAATTTTGCGGACAGTATATTGAAAAAGAAAAACAAATTGGGTTTCGTTGCATAGGATGTCATTATTAAGGAAGAAAGTGGCATTAACGGCCCCATATTTCCACTATATCACTTATTCCGTATCCTCTTTCAGACGTGAACTTAAGTGTGGCTCCTTTCGATCCAGGACCTCCACTGACGAGTACGGCAGTTGCTCCATGGCTTTTCTTTTTGTCGGTAACTTTAATGGCCGTAATGGTTAACGCGTTTAGGTTGTCCTGTTCAATCATTCAATTATTATGAAAACGTATTTAACAGTTTTACAATTGTACTTACCGACTGCTTAAATACATATTTTTTGGTCTGTACAAGGCCAACAAAAAATGCCTTTGAAACCGAATCCTTGGCCAATTTGTAGTCGTTGGGACCAATTTCGCCCCAAAGGTAGTCATTGGATGCCAACGTGGGTAAGGCGTATGCAGCCAGGGCAAATAAAATAAGTGTGGGATATTTCATTTTGATAACTATTTCCGAATGACGTTCACTTCAAACTGATTTGGGAAATAATTCGTACCCACTTTTTATTGCGAAGCTTGGTATCTATAAGTACTTAGTTAATTAAAAGTGATATTGCTTCGAACAACTTAATCAGTTAAGTCTCTTTATCATTTCCAAGCTGTTCCGATTTTCTTTTATTAACACGTAACTTAATTTCGCGTTGTTTACCTGTTCTGGTTTTGACAATTGATATCTTACAAAAACCACAAAACTTTTTAATCGGACAATATCCAACTATTTAACACACTACATAAGCTAATAATGTCCGTAATATTATAACAATTATTAATATTTTATTTTTTTTTAAACTTCTTAAATTTAAATAATTTTATTCAGTCAGAAATTTGTATATGAGTTTCTAAGCTTAATCTTTCTTTAATCATGATATATTAAAATATATATTATCTCACTGTTATATATTGTGTTAAATTATACATTTTATCGCAGTGGATTCTGGTATGTTGGCTACGGTCTTAAATTGTATTTAAGGTGGCTTCGACTTTGGCGGCTTTATCTACTTTGGCTGCCACTTCTCCTTTATCTGCTACCGCTTTGTTGTTGTAACACAGGAAAATTACCAGCGACAAGCTTCGAACGTGGGCCAAAGGGGGGTGGGGCGTGGCAGGACAAGGGGCAGAGGTAGGGGGTTGGGGCGGGAAAAGTCTACGGGGGCAGTGTCAACAGTTTTCCCTCCGGCTGAGCGAACTTCCTTCGGGCATGTTTGTTTGTATGCACTTCAATAAAAATTTAGCATACGCTTCACTTCACTTTACTTGCCACACGCACAGTCGCCACACATATACATACACACATAGGCGTACAGGAGCGGTTAAAAAATATCACTTAAATATTTGAATGCAAGAGGTAATATCCTCATTAAAAATATATTTAATTTTATTTTAAATATTGAATTTTATTAGGCCGAAATAAATCGTTTCCATTTAGGTGTCATCATATTAATTTAATTTGAACATTTTAGAAATTTATTTTTAACAAAATTTAGAATTTAAAAATGTCATAATTTTTTTATAGTTTTAAGTTTGATATTTTATTGAAACCATTTAATAATCTTATTGTAATTAGATTTACTACAAATGAAACATACATTGCAAATTATTGTCGTACGGTTAATAGCATTTATTTTAATATAAGTTTTAGAATATTTTTTTTGTATGTAAAAAAAGTCAAATTACTAGGAAACCACAGCATTCAAGCCATCTATTTATACTGACTGCTATAATTTTGTCCGCAATTGTGCATATACACACCTGTAACGCCCCCTGGCGGCAGCGACATGAAAACATTGCTTTGTATCATTTCCCCTTGGCGAAGCATTTTTCGATTATATGTTTCCTTTGCTTTTCGGTTCGTTTTTCAATCTAAATGTCAGCACATGTGCGTGTGTATGTGTCAAAATGGCGGCCAGCTGTTCGTGGGTGTGTGTGTGTGTGTGTGAACGATTGTGCGTGTGTGAGTGCGCGTGTCGTGGCAAATTACTCGAGTGAAGTGCGCACTTCAAGAATGAAATAGCCAGAGCAACCGACACGGCCCCCAAAAAACAAAACTTCATCCTTGCCAGCCTCCGTTATCCGGCCACGCCCCCCGCCCCCTTGGAAAACTCGGAAAATCCGCGTACATGTGTGCGTATGTATGTGTGTGGGTGCGAGAACGAATTTCCTTTCTAATTTGCTTAACGCAACTTTCTCAAGTCTCGTTACGTTATTGTTCATTCATGTCCCAGCCAACTGCAACTGCTGGTACAACCTCTCAAGAAACAAATAAAACACGGTTCCGATTGGAAAAACATATGAATCACGAAATACCCCTTAAAAATATTTAATTATATGTGTTGTACAATTTAAATTTCTCTGTGTTTAAAGACACTGAAACAAGTGTACTGAAAATGAATAAACAATTTGGTTGACTATATTGGGTGCAAACAATTTTGGTTCTAGAAAAATAAATTTAATTCCTAAATATAAGAAAATTTCCTTTAAGTTTTGTATGGAAATATTTTTTCAATACCACTTTTATACGTTGTTACTTTATTTTAAGAAGTTATAAGTGAATAACGGTCCATTTAAAGACCTTTACTTAAACTCTTATTTATATTTAAATTGAAGCAAAAATACCCAACATCTCGGTGCTACCCTCTACCATTTGGCTCCTAACGTGTGCATATAAAAATACGAAATGGAAACTTTGAAGTTGAAAATTAAGGAAGCATAACAACAATTTAAATCAAAACGAACATTAAGAGAAAAAAGAAAGAAAGCTTAATTCGGCAAAAAAATTTGAAATACTCTTGGAGCTATTACAAAAATGTGTGTCACAAAAAATGACTTTACTATGAGTAAAAGTCAATAAGGTTATGGTTGAACCCATCTTTTCTATATTAGATATTCTTACGATATTAGTAAAATTACAAAAGGCATTATTGAAATGGTGACTATATTTCATATTTATATATATTTAAAAGCAAACAGGTTGTGTCGATTTTCGTTCGCAGCATTGCAAACTTTTCACTAAAATTTAACACCCTCTGCAAAAGAAAAAGTAAAACAAAACATTTCATTTAAAATTATTTGCAGCTGTCGCTTTTGTTTCAAAAACGTAGGTATACATATTTTGGTTACAACTAAAAAACCTTAAAAAATTGTTTTTATGTATATGTTTTTGATGGCTACAAATTACAACATTCTTAATCCATTGCTGTTCTCAGTTCAAAAATTGTATTTTTCTTGGGTACCCTAGAAATATATTTTATTTTTGAAATAAAATTTTTCAGTTTTTGATAGCATAAATAGTTTCAAATTAAATATGGAAGTTTTTGTTTGTTGTTGCTTAGCAGTGGGTGATTTATTTAAGGAAAATCTTCCATAGATTTTTCGTTGGTTCCGGGTGCGTTTAGTCTTAAGCTCAAAACCCCTCCCTCTCTCTATAAATAATTTTATATTCGTCTTCCTATTAGCTAATTGTCAAGTAGTCGAATGAACCCACTTAGTCCGCACATTTAATATGCGTTTTCAACCATTTTGGGCGACATCAAAGCCAACGAACTCGAAGGCCGGAGCTCAGGCAACCTGCTTATCCTGGCTGCCTTTCCTTTTCGCCTCCTTTCGTTCACATCCTGCCGCAGGAAGAGGAAGTCGAAGGTCCTGAACCGCATTTACATGGCCCGTAATGCGATACACTTCCAATTGATGGACAATGTTTTATGCATGGATATTTTTCAGAAAATTGCGTACTTTATATGCCAACGTTTAATTAATCATTTTGAAAATGAATCTCGGTTAAATAGATACTTTACTTAATTGGCTGAGGGTCTTTTCTGTTTATAACTTGCAGTTTATAAATAATTATAAGAAATCGAAACAGCATTTTTATAATAAATACTAACTAAATCGCATTTGTGAAACATTTAAGCAAACCAGTCTTTATATGTAAGAACATTTTAAATTGTAAATATAAATAGCCATGCTAGTTACTCAGTAAATTCGTTCATTTAAATTGCTGCAACATTTTGTATTATAAACTATTAAAAAGGTTTTTTTCCCAATTATTGTGCTTTGTTATTTGCCAATATATTCCACAATACTGCACCACCGTTTGTTTAATCATTTTGAACACCGAAACGCTGTGAAAAAAGCTATTTAAATTAATTAGTCCGATGGCTACGGGTCACATTCTGAATATATATTACATATATTACACACAAACGGCTTTTAATTACGTTTTTAAGCCTCTGGTTTGAACTAAAGTCGCGGTGAAATATTGTAATAAATTCAGCTGGCTGATTGTTTGTGCAGGTAAATTTAATCAATAAATAAAATGTAAATTTCTCCACGTTTCGCGAAGTAATTTCCTTCCATCGCTTTCGTTTCGTTGTATTCTTTCTTATTTTTTTGATTGCTAGGCCTAGCGGCTGTTGACCTTCCACCGCTCCTCTTTGGTGGGGTCAAACCACAGCAGAAGGGAAGAAAAGAAAAGTTCGGGTGCCCGCCAAGAAAAGGCTGGGAATTCAAGTCACGGCATTCGCACCTGGGGCGAATGGCGTTTAAAATTCAGCAAAAGGTCAACAAATGGCCAGGTAACAGGCTCGGTCAGTTACGCAAAAACGCAAAATATACATAAGCTCATCCCTATAAAGATGTCTTCAAATAATTACGTACAGTTCGCGCCATGAGTGTGATTTATAAAACAAAATAAATAAAACTATAATATCAGTAGGGTTTTTTTTTATACCAACACACATTTTAACATTCAAACCTTTTCCAAACTACCTTATTTGTAGGAGATTAAAAATCTCTTCATAATACATTTATACATCATAGTTTAAAAATGTAAAAATATTTAAAAGAAATATTTAAATTATAATATAAAAATATATTCGAAACACTTGCAACTATTAGCCTTTAATAGTCATACAGCCCTGAAACGCACTGTACGGCTTTGGTATATTTGTTAGTAGAGCGACCAGTCAAAAAGTCTCGCTTCAATTACTTTGAGTTGTGCAAACCTTTTTTGGCTTATTTTTTTTGTATTTTCTTTGCCGTTCTATTGTCCCACTTTCTCCGACTCCTTCGTCCTTACTTTCCTTTTCCTTTTCTTCCATATTTTTCAGTTACCCTTGTTGCCTTCTTTTCAAATGAAAGGTGATGCCGTATATTTGAATTTTGAATGGGGAGTGCTGATGGATGTGAAGGAGAGGGGAGGTCCTAGTGGGTGGGCATTATGTCCTGCTTTACTGTCCCGTCAGTTTTTATTAAAAAACTCATTATATCACGCTCAGCAGGACAATTCGGTCTATGATGGCGTATTTGACGGAAGGAAGCATAAATTTAAGTTTATTTAAGTTTTTCCACAATAATCACACACAATTTATTTGATTATAACATTTTATATTTTAGCTTGAAAACATTAAATTCTTATGGATTAAATGGAGAGAGTGAAAAAAATACTGGAATATATAAATTATA